CGGCGTCATGGGCACTGTAGGGTTTTGCCCGTAGTTCAGGTAGAAATGGGACTGCTGCGTCGTCGCTGACGTGGCGTTGTTATACGCGAACTCGATCAGCGGCAGCTGCTGCTCCAAAATGGTCGGGTCGTCGCACGTGGCACGAATCAACTGCTCCATCGTCTGGTTCGTCCGCTCCGTTTGACCGTCGGTCTCGGGGTGGTATGACGAGCTGAACTGTAGCCTTGTCCCGAACTGCTCCTAGAGGTTTTTCCAGAAGTTGCTGGTGAACTTCGTGTCGCGGTCGCTGATTATCGCGGCTGGTATCCCGTGCAGTCGAACGACAGCTGCAATGAACAGGCGAGCGGTTTCTTCGGCTGAGATCGATTTCTTGCACGCAGCGAAGTGTGCCATCTTCGTCAACCTGTCAACGACGACCATAACCGCGTCGTTACCCCCAGGGTTCGAAGGTAACCCCGTGACAAAATCCATGGTAACCTGCTGCCAGGCGCGCTCAGGCGGTGGAATCGGCTGCAACTGACCCGCCTTCCTTTTTCGCGAGCTCTTCATCACCTGACACGTAGGACACGAGCCCACGTGGTGCTGTACGTCGGTCAACAGCTCCGGCCAGTAGTAATACCGCTGCAGTTGCTGTCGCGTTGACTCGGGTCAAAACACGGCGGACGCTGCGGCTTCAGCGGCATCGGTGACGGTAGAGTCGATTCGCCGGCCGGCACGGAAATCATGACTCGAGGCTGGTTCCTGGCCGCATTTGTCGCGTCGGGGTGTGTCGTGCCGTGGTCGTCGTCTCCGTCGTGGCGGACGACGCCATCTCTGGCCGCGCTCGCGGGTTGCCCCACGCTTCTATTTTGCGATGTCTGTGGTGCGGGCTGTATCGGAGTGCCAGGTGCTTGGGATTGCTCTTGCGATGTCGTTTTGCAGGGACGTGCGTTCTGCAGTCAGCGCCGCGATTTCTTCAGAGCTTTCGCGGATTTGCCGCAGCAGTTCGTGTCAGAACTATATTGTAGGCTGTAGTGGGGCACTCCTTATGGGGTACAGTAGTGTTAGGGTTTCCTACCTGTACTCCTCATGCTGCTCAATGAACTCATTCCTCGTTCTTATTCTCACATGGTATTAGAGCAGAATCGTTCCTAGGGCCCACCGAACATTCCGCCCTGCCCTAACTGATTTTTGTTTTTTTAGCTGCCCTTGCAGCCGCGCTGCCCTTGCAGCCCGCGTGCTGCCCCTGCAGCCGTGCCTGCCCCTGCAACCGTGCCTGCCTCTGCAGCCCGTGGGAGCTGCCTCTGCAGCCCGCGCGCCGCCCTCCCGAGCAGCCGTGCCTGCCCCTGCAGCCGTGCCTGCCCCTGCAGCCCGTGGGCGCTGCCTCTGCAGCCGTGCCTGCCCCTGCAGCCCGTGGGCGCTGCCTCTGCAACCGTGCCTACCCCTGCAGCCCGTGGGCGCTGCCCCTGCAGCCGTGCCTGCCTCTGCAGCCTGTGCGAGCTGCCCCTGCGGGACCCGCGCGGCGTCCCCCCCTTGCTCGTCGCGGCGCCCCCTGGGCGCCGTCCCTGCTCGTCGCGGCGCCCCCGGGGCGTCGCCCCTGCTCGTCGCGGCGCCCCCTGGGCGTCGTCCTTGCTCGTCGCAACGCCCCCGGGGCGTCGCCCCTGCTCGTCGCGGCGCCCCCTGGGCGCCGTCCCTGCTCGTCGCAACGCCCCCGGGGCGTCGCCCCTGCTCGTCGCGGCGCCCCCTGGGCGCCGTTCCAGCTCGTCGCGGCGCCCCCGGGGCGTCGCCCCTGCTCGTCGCGGCGCCCCCTGGGCGCCTTCCCTGCTCGTCGCGGCGCCCCCGGGGCGCCTTCCCTGCTCGTCGCGGCGCCCCCGGGGCGTTGCCCCTGCTCGTCGCGGCGCCCCCTGGGTGCCATCCCTGCTCGTCGCGGCGCCCCGGGGGCGTCGCCCCTGCTCGTCGCGGCGCCCCCTGGGCGCCATCCCTGCTCGTCGCGGCGCCCCCGGGGCATCGCCCCTGCTCGTCGCGGCGCCCCCTGCAGCAGCTGCCTCGGAGCCTCGCCCTGCAGCAGCTGCCGCGGAGCCCCCTACCGCCATCGCGGGCCCGCCCTACAGCAGCTGCTGCGGAGCCACCTGCAGCAGTCGCGGCCCTGCCCTGCAGCAGCTGCCGCGGAGGCCCCTGCCGCCGTCGCGGCCCCGCCCTACTGCAGCTGCTGCGGAGCCGCCTGCAGCAGTCGTGGCCCCGCCCTGCAGCAGCTGCCGCGGAGCCCCCTGCCGCTGTCGCGGCCCCGCCCTGCAGCTGTCCCGGCCCCACCGTCGCCGCCGTCGTGCGCCTACCCTGCTCGCTCGGCGAGCGACTGCCCTTCCAGCCACTGGTGAGCACTTGCCCTACCCGCGCTTCCTGCGTGCCTGCCTTACTAGCGCGCTGCCGCGCTGGCGTGCCTGCCGCGCCTGCCTGCCAGCCGAGCCGCGCCGCCCAGCTGAGCCGAGCTGCCTTGCGGCGCCGAGCCGCCCAGCCGAGCCGTGTCGTGCTGCCGGGCTATGCAGCCCTGCTCTACTGAGCCACACTGCCCTGCCCGTGCTGCTACTGCTGTTTCTGCTGCTACTGCTGCTGCCACTGCAACTACTGCTACTGCTGCTCCTGGCGGTGGCCAGATGCAGCTCCAGCGACGTCCGCGTGAGTCCCTCACGCCCCAGTAGCTTCGTGAGTGGTACGCTAGTTGGGGTTGTAGGGGTGGCCGCGCTGCTAGTGCTGCTACTGCTGCTACTGCTGTTACTGCTGCTACTGCTGCTACTGCTGCTACTGCTGTTACTGCTGCTACTGTTGCTACTGCTGTTACTGCTGCTACTGCGGCTACTACTGCTACTGCTGCTCCTGGCGGTGGCCAGATGCAGCTCCACCGACGTCCGCGTGAGTCCCTCACGCCCCAGCAGCTTCGTGAGTGGTACGCTAGTTGGGGTTGTAGGGGTGGCCGTGGTGGGAGTCGCCCTCGGGCGGGTCGTTCGGGAGCTTCTTGTAGTGACCAGGTGCAGCTGCAGCAGCGTCCACGCGCGGTCCTTTCGCCCCAGCAGCTTCGTGAGTGGTACGCTCAGAGTAGAGGGTCACGGAGTACTGCTCGTTGCCCGTACGTCATGTGCACTGGTGCTCGGGCTGGTCAGCCTTGCGCGACGGTTGGTCACACAGAGTCCCGCTGCTTCGCCAGTCTGAGCGACGCCTGGCGTACAGAGTTTGGCGACGACGCTAAGCTCCCCTCCTGGCTGGAGCTGCTTAGGCAGAGGGTAGATATCTTTGCTCTTGACTATGATGCTATCCTCACTGCCATGTATGCATTGCCTACTAGTGCCGAGGGTGCCTGTTACCTGTGTGTGCCGCCTGACCCAGGTATAGAGTCTGCTGCTCTAGGTGCTGGTGAGGCTGCTGCTCTAGGTGCTGGTGCGTCTCCTGCTCCAGGTGCCGGTGTTGTTGCTGCTCTAGGCGCTAGTGAGTCTACTGCTCCAGGTGCTGGTGAGTCTGCTCTCTCTGGTACTGCGCCTTGCACACTTTCACCCTTGACTCGGGTGCTTCTCGCTCCTTCTTTCGCGACTGCACCACACTCTCGCTGCTCAGTCGGCCAGTAGCAGTCTCTCTTGCTGACCCCTCTGGGGGCCGGTCCTTGCACACTCCTCCACGGTTCTGCCGTGTCTGGCGGTCCCGTTTGGCTCTCTGTCTGGCCTCCACCTCCCCTCGTTCTCCACGAACTTAGTGAGTGGAGCTGACCTTCAGGATGCGTGGGTTGACCAGTTCACTCTTGGAGGTCAGCGGGTGTCCCACTGTTCGTGTACTCGGACGGGCCGGCACCTGGCCACGTTCACCCGTCAGCCTGGGTCGAGCCTGTACACCCTGACTACCGTGTCTCCTCCAGTTGCTGAGTCTGGTCAGGTAGCTGCGTCGGGTCAGGTGTTTGCTGTAGTGTCCCGGTCAGGTCCTGAGTCTGCCCCCTGCTCGTGTCGCCTCCTGTCTCACCAGACTCTCCTTTGGCACCACCGCCTTGGTCACCCCTCCCTGCCTCGTCTCCGAGGCATGGCCTCCCGTGTCCTTGTCTCTGGTCTCCCCCGGTCTCTCCCTCCCCTTCCCTCGGGGCCTGCCCCTACTTGCGTTCCTTGCGTCGAGGGGTGGCAGCGCGCCGCTCCTCACTCCTCCGAGTTCCCTCCGACAAAGGCTCCCCTGCAGACGCTTCACATGGACGTGTGGGGCCCAGCCGGCGTCCGTGGCCAGGGTCACGAGCGCTACTTTCTGCTGGTCATTGACACCTACTCGCGTTACACCACAATCTTCCTCTTGCGCTGCAAGGGTGAGGTCACTGAGGTGCTGATCGACTGGATCCGCGCTGCCCGTCATCAGCTCAGCGAGAGTTTCGGCTCGGACCTTCCTGTTCTGCATCTGCACTCTGACAGAGGTGGAGAGCTTTCCTCCGACCTTCTGCGAGCCTTCGTCGTGCGGAGGGCATCCGCCAGACGTTCACGCTTCCGGCCTCTCCGCAACAAAATGGGATTGCTGAGCGCCGCATTGGCATGGTCATGGTTGTCGCTCGTACGTCCATGATCCATGCGGATGCTCCCCATTTTCTGTGGCCGTTCACTGTTCAGTACGCGGCGCATCAGCTCAACCTCCAGCCCCGGGTCTCCATGCCGGAGACCACACCTACTCTGCGGTGGACGGGGAAGGTTGGCGATGCGTCTGCGTTCCGTGTCTGGGGATCTCGAGCTTTCGTCCGCGACTTGTCTGCGGACAAGCTGTCCTCCCGTGCTGTTCCCTGCGTCTTCCTTGGCTTCCCCCCTGACGCGCCTGGTTGGCAGTTTTACCACCCCACCTCGCGCCGTGTTCCGTCCTCTCAGGACGTCACGTTTGACGAGTCGGTTCCTTACTACCATCTCTTCCCCTACCGCACTGCCCTCCTCCCCCCCCCGCCGCTCTTCCTCGCGCCAGGTCCTCCCCCGGTAGACCCCCTCCCCCCTCAGGGTCCTGCCCCCTTAGGTGTGTCCCAGGTAGACGCAGTCGAGCCTGTCGAGGTAGCTGTTGACTCTGGTGCTGCTAGGGGTGCTGAGTCTGGGGGTGCTGAGCCTGGGGTTGCTGAGTCTGGGGGTGCGGAGCCTGAGGGTGCTGGGCCTGCTCGTGTGGAGTCTGGCGGTTATGAGCCTGGAGGTCCTTCGGGTGCTTCGTCCCGGCGGGAGGCACTCTCTCCACAGCAGCTGCGCGAGTGGTTTGCTCGGCGCTGGAGCCGTGCTGCTGGAGCTGGTGGTTCTACGGGCGCTGGAGGCCCTGCTGCTGCTGGAGGTCCTGCTGCCGCTGGAGCTACTAGGGGTTCTAGAGCCACGGGTCCCGGAGGTGCTCGTACTGGAGGTACTGGAGCTGCTGGGCCTGGTGGTGCTACTGGAGCTGGAGCTGCTGGAGGTGCTGGAGCTGGGGGTGCTGCTGGGGCAGGTGCTGCTGGAGGTACTGGAGCTGGAGCTGCTGGCGCTGCTGGGGCTTCTGGTGGTCCTCCTGGAGCTGGAGCTGCTGGAGGTGCTGGAGCTGGCGGTGCTGCTGGAGCCGGTGCTCCTGTGGGTGCTGGAGTTGGCGCTTCTGGTGCTGCTGGAGGTGCTGCTGGAGCTGGTGGTACTGCTGGAGTTGGAGCTGCCACTGGGGGTGCTGGTTCTGTCCCTGCTGGTTCTGGAGGTGCTGCGCGGCCACGGCCGTACTACGTTCCGCTCCTTCAGCAGGTTCTTGGTCTTCCGCCTTCTACTGGTCCTGCTCCTTCCTTAGAGTGTCCACCGCCTGTCCAGTCGCAGTCCAAGTTACAGCCTGCCTCCCCACTGCCTGCTCCTTCTCCTTACACTGGTCCGACCGGAGGTCTTGCTGAGCATCGTGAGCCTGCGTCTCGTCCTGCGTTGCCTGTTCGTGCTGCTAGCACTAGTCGTCGTGGTTCGCATCAGCGTCCTCCTCCTATTCCTGGCACGCACCGGATGGCTCTGCGCCCTTCCACTGCTCCACAGCGTGTCCCTCTGCCGTCTCTTCCTGCGTCCTCTCTTCCTGCCCTTTCTGACCCGGAGTCTGTCTCCCTTCGTGCTGCTAGTCCTGTCACGCTTCTACTGGCCACTGCTGTCACTGACCCTTCCTTTGAGTCCACTGCTGTGTCTGCCTTAGTTGCTGAGCTTGTCGACTTTGCTGCTCACTGTCGTCTCGACTACACTGCTAGTCTTGTTGCAGAGTCCGAGTCTGTCTGTCCTCCGTACGTCAGGGGTGAGTGTGCTCTTGGCACGGACGTCCTTGAGGACAGGCAGGAGGAGTTTGAGTGCTTTGCAGCCGCTGTACCTCATCTCGTGTCCATGCTGATTGCACCCGAGGGAGACCCGGATGCACCAGACATCCCGACCCCGCGCTCTTACGTAGAGGCGATAGAGGGTCCCTACTCCTCTCAGTGGCAGTCAGCCATGGACGCAGAGATGGCATCCTGGAAGTCCACAGGCACTTACGTCGACGAGGTTCCCCCTCCTGGGGCGAACATCGTCAGTGGCATGTGGATTTTCAGGGTGAAGCAGCCGCCGGGTTCTCCGCATGTCTTCAAGGCGCGTTACGTTGCTCGAGGCTTTAGTCAGCGACAGGGAGTTGACTTCTTCCAAACCTTCTCACCGGCCCCGAAGATGACCACTCTTCGATTTCTGCTGCACGTCGCTGCTCAGCGTGACTACGAGCTTCACTCTCTTGACTTCAGCACAGCCTTCCTACAGGGCAGCCTGCACGAGGAGACCTGGCTGCGTCGCTCACCTGGCTTCGCTGGGTCGTTTCCTCCTGGTACCCAGTGGAGCCTCCGGCGGCCAGTCTACGGTCTCCGCCAGGCGCCCCGTGAGTGGCACGACACACTGAGCACTACGCTTGCTGCTCTTGGGTTTGCTCCTTCCACTACTGACCCATCGATGTTTCTCCGCACTGACACTACTCTGCAGCCGTTATACATCCTCGTGTACGTCGACGACTTGGTCTTTGCTACTGCTGACACTGCTGGACTGGCCCATGTGAAGTCGGAGCTGCAGAAGAGACACACGTGCACAGACCTGGGTGAGATGCGCAGCTATCTTGGCTTGCAAATCACCCGGGACAGATTACCGCGCACCATTACCTTGACTCAGTCACACATGGTGCAGCAGGTCCTTCAGCGCTTCAACTTCACGTACTCCTCGCCTCAGGCCACTCCTCTCTCTACTCGCCACTCGCTCTCAGCTCTGCCGTCGGATGAGTCCGTAGAGCCGAGTGGCCCGTACCCAGAGCTTGTTGGCTGCCTCATGTACCTGATGACCTGCACTCGACCTGACCTGGCATACCCTCTTAGCATCTTGGCACGCTATGTTGCTCCTGGGAGACACCGACCAGAGCACATGGCTGCAGCGAAGAGGGTGTTGCGCTACCTATGCAGTACGTCGGGCATGGGGCTCGTGCTTGGAGGACGGGCTCGAGTTGTCCTCACTGGTCACGCAGACGCTTCTTGGGTTGACGACTTGCCTACGCAGCGGTCGTCACAGGGTTACACCTTCAGCCTTGGTTCCGGCTCTATTTCGTGGCGGTCTACCCGCTCGTCTTCTGTTCTCAGCTCCAGTTGTGAGGCTGAGATCTACGCTGGGGCCATGGCTGCACAGGAGTTACGCTGGCTCACCTACCTGCTGACCGACTTGGGAGAGGCGCCTCGTTCTCCTCCAGTTCTGTACGTCGACAACAAGGCCATGCTGGCCTTGTGTCAGAAGCACAGACTGGAGCACAGAACGAAGCACATTGCTCTGCGCTACTTCCTTGCTCAAGAGTTGCAGCACCGTGGTCAGCTTCGTCTTGCTTACGTGGCCTCTCGGGCCAACACTGCTGATATCTTCACCAAGGCACTTCAGCCTTGTGATCATCAGCGTTTCTGTACTATGCTAGGTCTTGTGCCTACCGGGTCTCACTTGCTTACCTCTTGACTTTGCTTGTACTGTGATCTATATATACCTGCGCGTGCATGCTTACCTTTGTTAGGCTGCGATCACTGTCTTGCTTGTTCACTTTGATTTATAATCCTGCATGTGAACTGGCCTTGTGGCTTTGAACTTGTGCTCAGAATGTGTGGTGACGTTGTGATCCACCCTGAGCTTGACCTTGCCTTGTTCTCTTGCTTGTCCCCCACTTTGCCTATGGGGGTGTGTCAGAACTATATTGTAGGCTGTAGTGGGGAACTCCTTATAGGGTACAATAGTGTTAGGGTTTCCTACTTGTACTCCTCATGCTGCTCAATGAACTCATTCCTCGTTCTTATTCTCACAGTTCGTTCAAGTGTTCCTGCGTGAGGGTGGCGACATCGATATGCTCGGCCATTCCGAAGGGCGTCGGCTCGTCTTAGTCTAGGCGGAGTCGTGGCTGCACGCGTTTACGAGAGAACGCGAGGACAGCGGCTCCTAGGGGCTAAGGTGCGTGAGTCCCTTCGAGTGAAAAATCAAAAGTTGATTTCCTGGGGTGCGGAGATGCGCGGTCCGAAAAAAAAGAGGCTCTGAATACCAAGTGTTACGGGTGCAATGAATCGAAGTAGTGAGAATTGCACTAAGGTGTCAAACGAGTACAAAATCTGAGCGAAGGCATGAGCGAACATTTATACGCGAAACATGCAAACGGTAACGCGGTGCGTGCGAGCTAGCTAGTGCTACGCTGGCAGCGAGGCTCGGGCTAGTCCCGAAGCGTAGGCCGATGTCAACCATTATATATATGTTATTGCTGTGTAGGCTATAGTGGGTTAGCCTTTAGGGGGTACACAACTCTAGGGTTTCATACTTGTACTCCAATCTTTGATAGTTCAATCACTTCTCATTCTTAACATGGTATTAAGAGCTTAGGTTCTAGACCTAGGACTCACCTAAGGGCCCACCGTTAGAAGCGCCCTCGAGCGCCATATCGACCTAGCGCCCTCGAGCGCCTTTCTCCTAGTGCGCCTTCGTGCGCCTCGTCTTCTCCTGCTGCCCGTGCGCGGCTCGCTAGTGCCGCGCGCGGCCTTTTCTTTTTTCGCGCGCGTCGCCCCCTAGCAGCCCGCGCGTGGCCATTTCTGCGCGCGCGCCGCCCGTTAGCCGCCCACGCCGCCACGAGCAGCCCGCTAGCCGCCCGTCGACCGGCCCTCCTGGCCGCGCGTAGCCCGCTAGCGACCGGCAGCCCCGCCCGTAGGCCGCCGCGTCGCCCTCTAGGCCGCCGCCCGCGCGCTAGTCAGGCCCACGCACAGCCACGGCCCGCCCGCTACAGCTGCCCACGTGCACGCCCCCCGTCGAGCACCGCCGCGTAGCCCAGCCCGAGCCGAACCGCGCCGCCCGAACCGAGCCGCGCCGCATGAACCGAGCCGCGCCGCCCTGGCCGAGCCGTGCCGCCCTATTGTGCCCCACCTGCAGCAACTCCTGTTCCTGTTCCTGCCGTACTACTGCTTCAGCTGCCACTGTTACTGCTACTGCTACTACTGCTACTGTTCCTACTGCTACTACTGCCACTATGGCCACTCCCTCTGTTCTCACCTTTGACGCTGAGGGCCGCCCGATTAAGTTTGAGGTTTGGTTAGATGACCTCCACCTGTTCCTCCAGATCACTGCCAAGGACGATCTCTCCCTGTATGACCACACGTCAGGCGCCGCTCCCGCACCTGCCACTACTGCTGACAGTACTGCTCGCTCCCAGTGGCAGACCCGTGATGCTCACGCTCGCCTAGCCGTTCGCAGCCACCTGCCGTTAGATGAGCGCGAGCACTTCGGCCAGCATAAGACCGCTAAGGAGCTGTACGACGCCGTAGTCGCGCGCTACTCCTCCCCTGCCACTGCTGCTATAGGCCGTCTCTCACTGCCCTACCTCGTCCCCGACCTGTCCGCCTTTGCCACTGTAGCTGACCTCATCACCCACCTCCGTACCAGTGACCTCCGCTACCGTGCCGCGCTCCCCCCCGATTTCCTCGCCAAGAACCCCCCCCCGATGTACCTCACACTGTACCACCTTGTCACCCGCCTCCTTGACTCCCTTCGCACTGTCAGGGACCAGTTTCTCGCCCTCTCCCCCACTGACCTCACTGTCGACCTCCTCGAGAAGGAACTCCTAGCAGCTGAGAAGAGCATTGTAGCTGTAGGTGCCTCTCGTGGTGACCCCCGCTCCCCCTTCTTTGAGGGGTGCTCCCCCTCCCCCCTCCTCCCCTCCATTGCATCTGCTGCTGCTGTCGACTACCTCGGCGCTGAGGGGGTCGGGGCTGCGTCTGCTCCTAGTGGGAGGCGCAAGGGCGGCAGGGGCAAGGGGGGCAGGGGTGGTGGAGGTGGAGGCGGGGGCGGCGGCGGTGGAGGGGGTGGGGGTGGGGGGGGTGGTGGCGGAGGTGGGAGTGGCGCGGGTGGTGGGGGGGTCAGTGGCGGCACAGGGGGTAGTGGCGGCGGCGGTGGTGGGGGTGGTGGGGGCGGTGGTGGCAGTGGTGGCGGCGGTGGAGCGGGTGGCGGGCGCGGTGGAGCGGTGCAGCGTGGGGGGTTCGGCGGTGGCCAGAGGCAGCAGCAGCAGCGTCCCGGCGAGACTCCCTCGCCCCAGCAGCTCCGTGAGTGGTACTCTCAGCGTGGGGGGTCTGGGGGTGGAGGTACCTGCCCGTACGTCATCCGCACAGGTGACCGCACTGGCCAGACCTGTGGGAGGTTCCACACGGCGCAGCGCTCCTTCTTTCGTCTCGACGACGCCTGGCGTGAGCAGTTTCCTGACGCCACTGAGCTGCCCCGCTGGGCTGATCTGCTTAGGAAGAACATTGATATCTTTGCTCTTGACTTTGATGCTATTCTTGGTGCCATGTATGCATTGACTATTAGTGTTGAGGGTGACTGTTACCTGAGTGTACCGCCCGACCCGGGCATTGGGACCAGTGAGACAGCTCCTCCAGGTGCTAGTGCGTCTGCTGCCCTAGGTCCTGGTGAGGCTGCTGCTCTTGGTGCTCGTGCGTCTGCTGCCCTAGGTCCTGGTGAGGCGGCTGCTCTTGGTGCTAGTGAGTCTGCTCCCCCAGGTGCTAGTGCGTCTGCGCTTGCTGGTACTGCGTCTACTGAGGCACTGCACACCTTCACACTTGACTCGGGTGCTTCCCGCTGTTTCTTCCGTGAGCGCACTGCCCTTGAGCAGCTAGCTCGGCCAGTTGCTGTCTCCCTCGCTGACCCCTCTGGGGGCCCGGTCCTTGCGACCTCCTCCACTGTCCTCCCTTGTCCTGCGGTCCCGTCCGGCACCCTGTCGGGTCTGTACCTCCCCTCGTTCTCTACGAACTTGGTGGCAGGCTCTGCTCTTCAGGACGGGGGTGTTCACCAGTTCACCCCTGCCTATGAGCGTGTGACCCACTGTACGTGTGCTAGGACAGGTCGCCACCTAGCTACCTTCACTCGGCAGCCGGGTTCGGACCTGTACACACTGACCACTGAGTCCCCTCAGGTAGCTGCGTCTGCGTCTGCGTCAGGTCAGCTGTCGGCCCCCTGCTCGTGTCGCTCCCTGTCGCACCAGACAGTTCTCTGGCACCACCGTCTTGGTCAACCGTCAGTGCAGCGCCTTCGTGGCATGCACTCCAAGTACCTTGTCTCTGGTCTTCCCAGGGTTCTCCCTCCCCTCCCGCCCTCGCCTGCTCCTCCCTGTCTTCCCTGCGTCGAGGGGCGGCAGCGCGCCGCTCCTCACTCCTCCTCGTTCCCTCCCACAGAGGCTCCCTTGCAGACACTCCACCTGGACGTGTGGGGCCCAGCCCGCGTCCGTGGACAGGGCCACGAGCGGTACTTCCTGCTGGTTGTCGACGACTACACGCGCTACACCACGGTCTTCCCCTTGCGCACCAAGGGTGAGGTCCCTGATGTTTTGATCCCTTGGATCCGCGCTGCTCGTCTCCAGCTCCGCGACCGGTTCTAGTCGGACTTTCCCGTCCTGCGTCTGCACTCTGACCGAGGTGGTGAGTTTTCCTCCAACCTCTTGGCAGCCTACTGTGCGGAGCACGGCATCCGCCAGACGTTCACGCTTCCGGCCTCTCCACAGCAGAATGGGGTTGCTGAGCGCCGCATTGGCTTAGTCATGGAGATCGCTCGTACCTCCTTGATCCATGCGGCTGCCCCCCATTTCCTGTGGCCGTTTGCAGTCCAGTACGCTGCGCATCAGCTCAACCTCTGGCCCCGTGTCTCTGCTCCAGAGACCTCGCCCACACTGCTGTGGACGGGGCAGGTTGGCGATGCGTCGCGTTTCCGGGTCTGGGGTGCTCGTGCCTTTGTCCGCGATACCACTGCGGACAAGCTCTCCGCTCACGCTGTGCCCTGTGTCTTCCTTGGCTTTGTCCCCGACGCGCCTGGTTGGCAGTTTTACCACCCCACCTCGCGCCGTGTCTTCCCCTCTCAGGACGTCACCTTTGACGAGTCGGTACCCTTTTACCGTCTGTTCCCCTACCGCACTGCTCCGCTCCCTCCCCCGCCTCTCTTCCTCACCCCAGGTGCCCCTTCGGTAGACCCCCTCCCTCCCCAGGGTCCTGCTCCCTCAGGTGTTTCCCAGGTAGACGCAGTCGAGCCTGTCGAGGTAGCTGTTGACTCTGGTCCTGAGAGGGGTACTGAGCCTGGGGGTGCTGAGGCTGGCGGTACTGAGCCTGGGGGTGCTGAGACTGGGGGTGCTGAGACTGGGGGTGCTGAGCCTGAGGGTGCTGAGCCTGGGGGTGCTGAGCCTGGGGGTGCTGAGACTGCGGGTGCTGAGCCTGGGGGTGCTGAGACTTGGGGTGCTGAGCCTGGGGGTGCTGAGCCTGGGGGTGCTGAGCCTGGGGGTGCTGTGCCTGGGGGTGCTGAGCCTGGTGGCGCTCCCTCTTCACAACAGCTGCGTGAGTGGTACTCTCAGCGTTGCGGCCTCCGGCGTGGGGCTACTGGAGCTGCGGGTACTGTGTCGCGGCCGGAGCCTCCCTCCCCTCAGCGGCTACGTGAGTGGTACGCTCGGCGCTGCA